CTCTCACTGCCTCTGCACCTCTGGCCTGTACCCCAGCTCTGTATGCATAAGTAAATAAGTCTTTAAAAAAAAAAAAAGGACAGGCCCTCCCTGGTGAGGCAGCGGGTTAAAGCACAGCACTAAGACTCTGCTAAAGCCACTTCAGCATGAGTTCGCTCCCCGCCTGCCCCAGAGGTGACCCACATGGCGCGGCAGACCTCTCCTGACCCGCCCGCTGCTCCCCCAGCTGTGTGCTTCATACATCTGCCTGTTCTGCTCCCTGCTCTGTCTCTGGTGAATCCTCTCACCCTCCGCATCTCTGGCCTGTACCCCAGTTCTGTATGAATAAATAAATCAATCTTTAAAAAAAAAAAGTGCATTTCAATATGCTGCAGAATTTCACTTTAAAAAAGAAATAATATGTCAGCTATCTTGGGTTTAATAAAATATACTATTAAATTACTTTCACCGTTTCTTCTTTTTTTAATGTGGTAATTAGAAAACCTAAATTTGTGCTGTGTCTTATTTCTGTGGGACAGCAAGTAGGCAGGGCCGGCCCTCCTGCCGTGGTCTGGTGACTCTCGCACAGGGGAAGAGCCTCTCATGTGTATGTGGGCTGCACACCCAGGGTGTGCTGGCTTCCTCCGCAGCGGGACCAGCCTTCCAGCACACAGCTGGCACAGACACTGGCTGGGGACTGTCTGATTCTCGTTTGGCTTAGGGACACATCACTGATTCATATTTTAAACACTACAATCCCCTGGGCACAGATGATTTTGAGGCTTGGGGAGCTCCTGTATCACCCCTGCGAGCCACCCTCATCACACAGGAGAGGGTCGCAGGCCCCATCACAAGTCATCTGCCTCTTATTTCCCCCAAACACGGAGTATGCATTTGGTGTAAGGTGAACAAAGCATCTGGAGAAACTCCACTGAATTTCGCAAGCCCATCCGATTCGCTACTTATTCAAGTTGGTTATTAGTATTCCACCATCTTATCTGCACACACAGTTTAGTTAGTTCCCTGTTGTCCAACATCGGGATTGCTTGCCTTTCTTCCTGCTATTATAAACAGCAGTACTATTAATATTTTCTTTCCATTTGGATTATTTTATTGGTCTGTTTTCCCCGAAGTGCAATTTGTTAGCTGGGAAGTATATACCATTTTATAGTTCCTATGGTTTTGTCCCTTTAACTCACTCTCCCAAAAGACCATCACAGCATTTCTCCAAGGTGGACACGTGTGTGTCCTTCGCTTCCCCACAGTCGTTTGTAATGTTTTTACTAATTGGTGTATCACAGATACCTCCCTGCATGCACATGAGCTATGATAACGACTAAAGTCCTTCCCTTAAAACCCACAAAAACTAAATAGAAAAACACCTTCCAACTCCCTCCATCTGTCAGGACTTGGGGGTCCCCGTAGTTTACTGCCTCCTGATCCCCAGTTACCTTGATGGTCTTTGACGCCTCCTCCACCTAATAAAGACGTTCACCTCCCGGCAGCTGAGAACTCACCGCAAATCCTCTTTCCCTCTGCAGTTTAGATGAATCCTGGCATTTCTTAAATGCCATCTGTTGATTGTTCAGGATTGAGATGTTCTGCTTTATATGCAAAAAGGTTCAGGAGACACGGCTGATGCGCTGTTTGTAGCTTATTAAAGCCTGGGGGAAGCCCCAGGCCTCTCCCCTACAATTGCATCCTTGGGGACCACATCCTGGTTGGGTTCCCCAACCAAGGCAGGGCAGCCTGGCTCCCAGGGATGAGGGACAAAAACAGATGCTCCCGGTTGTCGCTAGATGGCGCCTCTCAATAACTAATGTGGACGCGTCTTTCCAAACCCCAGCCCCAGTCTCCCCAGCTCCTGCATGGCGGGGCACTCCAGTCTCCAGTCATATTTACTTCCAGGGTAAACATCCCAAAATAAATTTTAAAAAAAGTTCATTCTAACTAAAAATACATCATCTGTCTGAAAAAATTTCATTAGGCACACCACGTCAACACCTAAGGCAGGTTAATAACCAGCCTAAAGCAGATGGTTTCTTTTAAAATTACTGGATCCCGGCTCTCCTTGGTGGTGCACCAGGTTAAAGCGTGGCACTGGGAAGCTCTCCGAAGCCACTGCAGCACGAGTTCGATCCCTCGCTAAGGAGCTCTCCCACATGGCCCTGCCGACCTCTCATGACCAGCCCGCTGCTCCCCTCAGCAGTGTACTTCATCAGTCAGCCTGTTCTGCTCCCCACTCTGTCTCTGGTGAATCTTCTCACCCACCACACCGCTGGCCTGTACCCCAGTTCTGTAAGCATAAATAAATAAATCTTAAAAAAAAAAAGAAACCCATAAAACTCGGAGGTAAAACAAAATTCTTTAAGCAAAACATTGCCTATATGACTCCAACTCTTTTCCATCACTATATCCCACATCAGACCTAATCCAATCATGATGGAGATACTTGCTCCAAAATGTGTGTAAATGACTCCAACTCATAACTATACCAAAAACTCAGAAATTGTTCTAATATATTTTTGATGCTTTCTGAACTTTTTCTTTGTGGACACTCCTCCTAATAAAAATGTCACCAATGTCCAAAAAAAAAAAATTGTGTTAATTTTTAATTCAGCGATTTCCCTTTGAGGAGTCTAATATTAATACAAAGGTATTCAGTGCAAGATTGTAATAATAAAAACCTAAAAAGGAAATAATAAAATGTAGAATATTAGGTAGCCATTAGATGTTTACAATGACATCACAAATATTATGACATCACAAACAGTATTTAGTAGTAAGTGTGAGTTTTCACAGAGGCCTAAACAGTTAGAAACCAAGTACATTGCTCCCCAGGCCCCAACACGCACGCAACATCACCAGGAGAGCAGGAAGTACAGCACATCGCTGGCGTGGTGTTCTGAGTGGTGAGATCTGTACTGTTTTTATTGCATTATACTTTTCTAGATTTGTCTAGATTTTCAGCAATAACCATTGACAAATAAGAGGAGATGGATTACTTTCAAAGATATTTAAAAGCAGAGTTAAAGCAAAGCACAAGGAAGCGGTATAAGCGGCTGTCTCTGAGGGGCCGACAGGTCAGCGTGGGGTCCTCCGGGTGTCTCCTAAGTTTTATACCAGTTTTGTGGTATTACATTCTCGAAAACACATAAATCGGGATTTTCACAAGAAGACACAGAGGCCCTCCTGGTGGCACAGCGGGTTGGTGCTGCAATGCAAAGCCAAGCCAAGCCTTGGCCACTTCAGTGGGAGTTTGGCCCCTGGCCAGGGAGCTGACCCACATGGCGTGGCAGACCTCTCCTGCTCCCCTCAGCAGTGTACTTTGTCCATCTGCCTGTTCTGCTCCCCACACTGTCTCTGGTAAATCCTCTCACCGCCCTTGCACCTCTGGCCTGTACCCCAGTTCTGTGTGCATAAATAGATAAATATTTAAAAAAGAAGACACAGAAACACAAAATCTAAACCATCACAGTGAGAAGAGTATGGGGGGTGGGGGGAGCAGGGACAGAGCTGCCAGCCCTGGGGATGACGGCCTCAGACCTGCCCTGCCTCTGGGCCTTGCCCAGGCCCTGGCCAGCAGCGCTGGCCTCATTGACAACAGCTCCAGCTGGACGAACCGGGCTGGTGGCTCCTCTGGGTATGTTTGCTCAGGGTGAGGAGAGGGCTTCAGTGGACACTGGCGCAGGGCCCAGCTGGACCCCCTTGACCCTGGGCGGAGCTGGGCCAGGCCCAGGAATGACAGAGAGGGCCCCGTGACCTCACAAAGGTTGCTGTTCAGCCCCTATTTCCCCAGGACCAGTTACAGGAATTTCAGAATTCGGCATTGTTCAGTATGAAAAAAGCCTCCCCTTGAAGCACTAAACCAATTATTTTTATTCTGGTTTCATCTTCATGCCATCCACAAATCAATGTTTTTTTACCTTTACACTAAAAAGAGGATGAGTCTAGACCCCACTGAAGCTATTTTTAAAATGGGGGAAGTTGGGGCCCTCCCTTAAGGCACAGCACTGCAAGCTGGCTGCAGCCGCTTCAGCACAAGTTCTATCCCCACCCTGGAGCTGACCCACATGGCGCAGCAGACCTCTCCTGTCTCCCTGCTGCTCCCCTCAGCAGTGTACTTTTGACGATCTGCCTGTTCTGCTCCCAGCTCTATCTCTGGTGAATCCTCTCACCGCCCCTGCACCTCTGGCCTGTACCCCAATTCTATGTGCATAAATAAATCTTAAAAAAAAAATGCGGAAGGGCATTCTGATCACAGGTTTTAGTTCAACAAGAAGGGCCAGACTCATGGACCTCCCCAGGGACTCAAGGGGTTAAAGTGCAGCACTATAAAGCTGTCCACAGCCACTGCAGCTGGAGTTTGATCCCAGCCAGGGAGCTGACACACAGGGTGTAGCGGGCCTCTCCTGTCTGCCCGCTGCTCCCCTCAGCGGTGTGTTTCAGTAGAACCACATGTTCTTCTCCTTACTCTGTCTCTGGTGAAACCTCTCAACCCCTGCACCTCTGGCCTGTACCCCGGTTCTTGTATGCATAAATAAATAAATCTAATGAAAAGAAAAAGAAGGGCCAGACTCAGACTGTCCACCTCATCCCCCCCTCCCCTGCCCTGGTCACTATCAACTCAAGCAGCACATAAATGACCAGAGTGCCTCCGTGCCCAGTACTCGTTGCAGCCAGCTGTAGAGACATGGGCTCCATCCTGAGGCCACCAGGGCCTGAGGCCAGCCCGAATCTTTCTTTACATACAGGGAGGTGCTGGGGACAGAACCCTCCTAGGTAGGAAAGCCCTCCTGTCAACACCCCAGGGGCCTGAGCTGCACGGAGAGAGCCCCAAGTTCTCGCCCAGTCTGAGGGAGGGTGCGTGCATGCACAGGCCAGCAAAATTTCACTCGAAACCCAGGGAGAAGCCTGTCCTCAAGCTTCACTGCAGTTTGCTGACAGTCAAGTTCTGGTTCCGGAAGACAAGGGGGAACCTGAGCTGCAAATATTCCTTAGAGACAGCTTACGACAGGCACTCAGAGCAATCGTTTTTACTGAACGTGTTTGATTTAAGCAGCATAGTGCAGAACAACATGACTTCAGGTGGGGAGAGGAAGCTCCTGGAGGCCCACCCCGGGGTACAGCTGGCGGGACAAGGGCCAGAGCACGGGACGGTCCCCCAGGAGGCCACTCAGAAGTCTCAGGGTGGGGAAGTAACAAGGTCAAGGTGCTTCCAGAGTCAGCTGGCCCCCAATTCCTGAGCTCCAGGGACCCTGGGGAACCAGCGGACCAACAGATGCTTGGGACAGAGTCACCCTCGCACGGTGAGACACCCGTGACCTTCCTCCACAGTCCTGGTGCGGCCAGGGGAGCCGAGCGGGTCCACCCAGCGGTGCGACAGCAGGCTCTCCACAGCACACTTCACAGGCTCCTGCCTCACATCAGCGCTCGTAACCAGCAAACGCACCTTCACGGATATTTCCAAACATGACCCAGCGTAGACTCTTCAGCAGATGACACACAAGCGCTGGGTCACCCCTGCGCGCGGGGCTGCCCGACGCCTTCCGTGAGTGGGAAGGTCCGTCCAGCAGCAAGGCCTAGTCATCGTACTGCACCTCCGCCCGCAGCTCCTTGTTGACGTAGTTGACCAGCATGGCCAGCAGCTGCTGCTGCAGCACCTCACTGCCCATGACCAGCGTGGTCAGCTGCACAGCATCCGTCCAGTCCAGGTGCCTAACGATCGCCGTAGCCTCGTTAACCAGCTTCTGTTGCTCCGAGGGCGGCAGCTCCATTATGATCTGAGGAATTGGCTTGAACTGTCCACTCGTCATCCAGGCCCCTAAAAGACCCCCAACGGCCCCCCCTAGAAAACAAGGAAGGTTCAATTAGCCAGGCCCGGGTCGTGACCCAGGGCCTGGGGTTCTCGCGAGAGCGTGTCCCCTGTCACGGCCAGCGGACGCATGGTGAGTGGCCAGAGCGGTTTGGCCTTGTGCTGCTCTGCGGTTACGGGCCTTCACTCCATCTGGCCGGGGGAACTGGCACGTAGACAGGCCCTGCTCGGAGCCCCACACCCATGCAAGCGGCCCGGAGCGCCCCCACATGACAGCTGCACTAACTGACCCTCATGGCTCAAGGCCTCCCTGCTGCTGCCCGTAAAGCTCTCTCCTCACAGCAGAGTGGGCTGAGAAGCAAGTGCATTTTCAAAGAAAAACATCCCCATGCTGAGGCTGAGTTCCCCCATCAAGTGACCAGATGTTCTTTGCCCCTGAAATCTGGAAATTTCCACAGAAGTCATGTGGTCAGAGGCCCCTGGGGACAGACAGCCTCTTCTCCTGAAGCAACGTCTTTCACTAACAAATGATAAATTACACCCTGAATGTTCTCCGCTATTTTCCTTTGTGACACACTAAAAGAAGGGCACATTTGGACATGTAAACCTGTGGACAAAGTTAAGCCACTGACTCTGGGCTCTGAACACCTTGGGCCCACAGGCCCCCGTTACACCAGGCAAGGTGCCCTCTGCCAGGGTCCCAAACCAAGGGCCTTCGGGGGCCAGGCAGGAACAGGCAGGAGTGAAGTGAGGAGGAACCCTGGGAGACCCTGAAGGGGGGCCCTGTCTCAAAGGCAGTGACTATCCCTGGCCAGCCAGCTGCTAGCACATGAATATCGGATTTATATTTTTAAGAAGTTCCGTAATCTAAAGCGTGATCAGACTTAGAAGCCGCAGCCTAGAGTTAGACTTAGAGTTTGCTTTGCGCAATCAGAGAGTGGAAGGGGAAGCAATAAACCTTGACAGAGCAGACAGCTGTCCACTGGGACATCACCAGTGAGGGGAGTGGGTGCCGTGTGCCCCGACATGCTGTCTGTACAGGGCACTCCCCTCTTGGGCTCACTGCAGAGAGCTGAATGCCCATCTTGTCGTGAGACAGGCACCGGGCAAAGCCCGACGGTGCTACAAAGCACCTGCTGTGCCTCCCCAACCCACCGGGGCCGTGAAACACTCAGAAAGGCCACAGGCTGTCGCAGACCGGGGGCTAGGGAGGCCCACGAACTAGATGCAGCGTCAGAGCTGAGTCCTGGACAGGAAGAGATCACTGCTGCAAAAACTGCTGAATCCAAGTCGCGGCTGGAGAACTGTCAATGGCGACCTATCAGACTTGGCTTCTCGGCTTCGACACCTGTGCTGTGGCCACATTAGGTGTAAGGATGTGGTGCTGACTCTGGCTAGGTGGGGGGAGTTTCACTGCAAACCTCACACTAGTCTCAATAAATGGTTTATCTGGAAGAACGCGGGGGGGGGGGGCTGTCTCTGCAGCAGGACCTCTGAACAGAGGAACTTGCCCTCCCCCACCCGCTTGAGCCCCTCTCCGGCAGCCTGACTCTCCTCTAAGGCCCAGAGGCTGAGCCCTGACCTGGACAGGCTTCCCCTCTGCTCTGAACGAAAGCAGCATTGTGGGAGAGAAGCTAGTAATTTACAAGTTTTCATGAACTTTTCCCCACGACACCAGTGAAACACTTAGCCTGCCGTCAAGAGTTGCACTCATCTGCACTAAACCTTTATGAGAACGTCAATATTTGATTTAGAGCAGCACTTAATGCACAAAGTCACCAGGAATATCGACCAGCAAATTACTAACTCTTTGGAGAAGAGAAAATTCCTTTGTTTTCTCCGTAGAATGATGCTTTCGCCCATGACCAGGGCGGCAAGTTGCAAATCTCCCGGGTTCTCTTTGCAGACATCCTGCTCAATCTGAATACAATACGTCCTTCCAAAGTGGCATCTGGGCACCGCTACATGGTGCACGACCCCGGCCAGCCCTCCTGGCACCAGAGCGGGCAAGCGGAGGTGTGGAAGTGGAAGGCCACGGAGGAAGCAGCTGCTGACGTGGCCCTGCCTGCTCCCTCCCTGCCTCCCTCCCAGATGGGGGAGAGGCCAGGACTCACTGATTCCCAGAGTCTGGAAGGGGCAAGGTGGAAAGTGAGGTCTGAGCCACCGCCTGCCGAGTCTTCTCCCCAGTGTGGCCCCATCTGATGGAACATCTTTGGCTGTCCCTCCAGCCACCCAAGGAAAGCACAGAGCAGAAACCCAGCCGGCACACAGGCCAGCAGTGACCACCGCAGCCTCTGACACTCGGAGACTCGGGCAGCGGAGAAAGGATCAAGATGCCACGGGCTCCACCCACCCACCGCCTGCCCACCACAGGTTCTCCCCGGGCTGTGTTCTTCCAGGTAAACGTTGTATTGGAGAATATTATTGGGTTTACAGTGAAACTGCAAAGAGAGTGCAAAGAACTCCCATCATGTTGTCACACCGAGCCTGCGCCCCATCCTTAACATCTACTGCGGACACCCCACTGCCATCAGAATGACTGCGTTCCGGGGATGGCCCTGCGCCCACGTGGCAAACCACACCTCTAGCAGAGGCTCCTGTGTCCAGGATCCACCTCAGGGGAGGCCCGAGCTGGCTCCTCCTCAGGTCTGCCTGGCTAGCGCCCGGCTCTCTGACTCCCCCCACGCCAGGGCCACAGCGCTGAGCCTGGCAGAACTCCCAGGGCCCAGAACACAGGAGTTCTGCTCCTATTCAACAGAAGCAACTTCTTCCTAGCAGCAAAGGCCAGTGGGGACATAAGCCAAACTTTCATCCACTGCCAGAAACTGGCTCCCAAGCAGCACAGGGAGACAGGAAGTGGGGGGGGGCTCAGGAGCACACCCGAGGCTTGCTTTCAGGATGGGAGGCTTCGCGGAGCGGGCTCCTGTGCAACTGCAGACAGCACCTGCTCCAGCTCCCCCCTTCCCGCCCCTTCTGAAGTGGGGTGTAATGTTGACAGGGAGGGGGACCATCCAAGAGACCCAGAACCCTGGTATCTCCAGATGCCAGGACCAGGGAGACGCGCCTCCAGTCTTCACGGCTCGGACACGGCCACCTACCCTGACCGGCGGCCACACAGGCGGCATTTTTAATAGGACGAGTGATGTCCAAGCTCATCGCACAGGGGCAGCCACAACTCCACCACCTCCTCACCATGGCCGTGGGCACCACTGGGGCCTTTCAGGGCGCCACGAGGCCGCCGCCCAGCCAGGCATCTGTACTTACCCATGGCGAGTCCCGGGGGGCCGCCAACCAAGCCCCCAACGAAGGCCACGGCCCCCGTGACCAGGGCGCCCCTGCCCGAGTGCTTGACGGCTGCCCTCATCTTCCTCTTCTCGGACACGGAGCACAGCAGCTTCATGATGTCCTCTACCACGATGGGCATCTCGGCAGGCCTGGGGCAAGAGTTTCAAAAGGGGAGGTTTGCTATTTTTTTTTTTATGCATAGAGAACTGGGGTACCGGCCAGAGGTGCAGGGTAGTGAGAAGATTCACCAGAGACAGAGTGGGGAGCAGAACAAGCAGACGGACAAAGTACCCTGCGGAGGGGAGCAGCAGGCGGTCAGGAGAGGTCTGCCGCGCCATGTGGTCACCCCCAGGGCAGGGACTGAACTCATGCGGAAGTGGCTTTAGAGTCTTAGTGCTGCGCTTTAACCCGCTGCGCCACCAGGGAGGGCCCAAAGGGGGAGTTTTAAGGCGTGTCAGGGAATGTCCACCCTGAACCGTGCTCTCCCTGGAGTTCTGAAGAAGGGCTCCCTTTTTGGGTGGAGAACAGTAGCTCTGTCCCTATCACACACCACACCCAGTGATGGACACTGGGTTGCCACAGAGAAAGCAGGGCGCTGTCTACTCAGTGAGAAACAGGGCAGCGGAGCGCATGGGCCAAGGGTCACCTTTGCCTTCTGATTGCCTTGATCTATGACAGCCGCAGCAGCAGCCGCCACAGGGCAAGTGAAGCCGGACTGCCCACCCTGTGTTAGCGGCCTGGCCACTGGCCTGGGCACCAAGCCTGGCTGAGGGTGGGAATTCCCCATTCCCAGCCTTATGTCCATTCTGTGAGGCAGTGACTGAGCTCATGGCAGGACAGAGGAGGGGAGAAGGCAGGGCGCTGCAGCCACACTGGCCTGGCCCGACCCGAGCAGGGCACCAAGTGGGCATAAAGCACCCATGCTGGAGAGCTGCGAGGTGTGCACAGAGATGGGGACACTGGCTGAATACTGCAGACTCAAGCTTGGTCGCTAACAGACCACTGAGGCACATCCAGGCTGCACATGGACAGCAAAGGCAGAGACGGACTTACTATGGCTGTTTCTATATGGATCAACCAGAAATAAGAATCCAAAGAATTCCAGGGTGGTTACATGTATGAAGACGGCAGCTGAATGGTGGGCCTTTGGAACAGTCACTTTTAGAACAATTCTCTGAGATCAAGAAACTCTTAGTCATGCTGAAAGGAAAACGCAGGTGCCAGGACACTGCAGCCTTTGCCGGGGGTCATGGGGATGGAGCCCCAATATGGACCAACTCCAGGAAGGGCCAGGAGTAATGTCAAAGTGGCCTCAAGCTGGTGCTTCTCCTTCCAGGGGGTGGCCCAGGCTCCCTGGGGACTGCGCTTTGTCGCCAGAACCCCCTCTCCAGGCAAGGCTGACACCTGCAGTCACTAGAGGAGCCTGATGGGCACAAGTTTGGAGCAAAATCCACTATTCACTGTGTTTAAGGCACATGAGCCTTTTTGGCCCAGAGGTCATCCAGGACAGGTCTCTGCTGGGAAATTACCCTCCCAGTTCTGGGAATGAAGCTTGAACAGCTACAAAACTGAGGACTCTGATCTCCCCACACTCAGGTGTTCAGAGTCCCAGGAGACACCTGTGCTCCACACCCTGGAGGTGCCCCCTTGGACCCTCCTGGACACTCCTGAGGTCAGGGACTTTGTGCTCAGGAGTCACTGGCGAGTCGGGGTGTGGAAACATGGCATTTCCAACGAGCCCCCAGACTGTCCTGTCAGCTCCCTTGGGCAGCAGGACAGGATGATCTAGGAGTTCAGGTGACAGTTACTCAGCCCTCAGGCTCCCCCAGATGTGTGCCCTCAGCAAGTGGGTGTGACTGGCAGTGGAGGAACAGGCCCTGCAGGGTTGCCAAGGTCCAGCAGGAGACTCAGGGCCCCTCCAGCCCTGGCTTCCAGGAATCCTGGACCTGCCCTGCCTGCCAGGCCCTGTGCTCACCAGCAACATCACTGCACACACAGAAAATGTCTCCTTAGCCTCCCCAGCAAAGCCCCTTCCACTCTTCCAGAGGCCAAGACTTGTCACATAATAAGACAGCATCAGAGCAGCAAAGGGACTGTACTGGAAAGAAGCCACTCAGGAACGGGGATGGAGAGCGTCCCCTGACTGACCAGTGGCCACGGCCCTGTGAAGCTAAGCAGGCAAACGGGATGACTTTTACTTCAGATACATGTTAACACCACCAAAGGAATAAACTTTGGAGTGAAACCTTTCCCCAAACCTAAAAACCTGTAAATGACATAACCACCTCCGAGCTCAGCTCTGACTCGCAGCCAGCTCTTTATCTGAAGGTGCCCCCACCCCGAAATCCCCTTTTACACTTCTGAGGTCAGGGACTATCTCAAGTGCTCAGGAGTCACTGGCAAGTCGGGATGAGGAAACATGGCATTTCCAACGAGACCCCAGACTGTCCTGTGAGCTCACTTGGGCAGCAGGAAAGGATGATCCAGGAGTTCAGGTGACAGTTACTCAGCCCTCGAGTGCAGAATTGCAAACAGGCTCCCCCAGATGTGTCAGGGGGCCCAGGAAGGCCCCGCTGGAGCCTCAAACCCTCCACCAATTCCAGGGGCATGAAGACGCCAAGGCCTGCCATGCTCGGCCTGCAAGTCCTCCTTCAAGCCCAGATGTCACTCCTCAAACGGGCTTTCTATGAACTGTGGTGGTTGAGATTACAACGGTTCCTGCACAGCAAGAAAACACATGGAAAAGAGGTGGGAAACAGATACATATCCACTTCAGCCTCTATAGTCTGTCAAAAAAAGAACAAAAAAAAAAAAAAGAAAGAAAAAAGAAAGAAACCCAGCTTCTGAATGACTTTTAAGTTGAAACCCACAGGGGCTAATGAGGCCGCATTGTGTAAATGCTACTTCCAACCTCCACTTAGCCCAGCCAGGCCAGCAAAGGCACAGGCCCAGGGCTCTGCAGAACTGGAGGGCCAGCAGGTGTTCACAAGTGTAGGAGGGCAGGGCGGAGGGGTTCAGCTCCAGCTGGGTTCCACAGTCCTACACCACCGGTGGGGGTGGCTCTGTGCAGCCGCCATCCAGGGAAAAGCGGCTTTAATTTCCTCGCAAGAATCATTTTAGAAGTTAGAGCATTAATAGATTCTTGTTAAAGAAAGGTTTCCAACCCCGTCTCCTGCCGTCTCCTGAGCTCTTGCTAAAAGCTCGCCTCCCAAGGCCAGGCTTGCCTGCCAGACAGAGAAGGAAGCCAGTGTTGGTCCCTTACCCCACTTCAGGCAGCTACAAGGGAACCCCGACAGACTTCAGCGGGGTGGGGTGGCTTCTCTCTGCTCCCCTCCACTCACACTATTTCAGAGTCAAAACAGGCCCTGCTCACAGGAAACAAATGCAACTGGAGGCCTTGTTCCTCCAAGGTTCTGGGGGAGAGGGAGCTAAGGTCACCCCCTGGGGCAACTGCCAGCTTTCTGGGATGGACCAGATTGTAAGTCAGGAGAGAGGAAAGCTTCAGTGCTAACTAACCCAGACCTCCACACGCTCAGCTCTTCATAAAAAAAAACAACCTAGGAAAGCCAGCCTCGCGGGAAGTAGGGGAAGCAGAAGTCCTACTTCCACTTCTCTGGTGAGTCACAACCTGCCCTGTGAACCTCACCCACCCCCCTCTGTCTCCCCACCTCTCTGGGCCCCAGGGCAAATGCAGCAGGAGCTACCCACAGCAAACATTGATTAGCTCACAGCCTTCCTTTTGCTGAATTGATTACCAGTACTTAAGAACCTAGAAATTTCAAGGACATGTCAAGTTCCTGACTTCTCCTGAAAGACCAGAACAAATCACAACTGATCAACCTTCTTGCAGCTAACGGGCCACCCACGGTGCACCTTTTCTACCTAGCCCAGGCCGGGTGACTCCCTGCCCTCTCCAAAGTATCTTGTTCCCTTCTTTTCTTCTTTCCTTTCCACTTTTTTTTTTAGGCTAAAGAAGCTGCCAGTTCCACCAAAAGGAATCTCTCCTCCTAAGTCCTTAAACGCCCCCCCCCCCACCCCAGATGAAGTCTAAACTGAGACCTGAGCCCTTCCTACAAGCCAAGGTGGGGGAGGGCGCGGCCGGGCTGAGTGGTCTCCTGCTGAGTCCAGCTGACCTAGCAACACCCGCCTCCCCTCGGCACACCCCAGGTTCAGCGCTGGCTATAGGGGCGCCTCCCTCTGGCACACCCCAGGTTCAGCGCTGGCTACAGGGAAGGCCACACACCACACCTGGCCACAGCTGTCATTCCGTCCTGCTGGGAGCAACGCCCTGAAATGCAACTGTCTGGATCCTGACCCCACTCCCTCCCGCTTCTGCTGACTGCTGCTGTGACTCCGGTTACCCGTGCTCGGTCTCTCCATAAGGAAAATGACTGCACTGAGTGTCCGGCCAGACACCAGAAGGTCTTGCTCCCGCAGGCCGGAGACCACAAGCCGCCAGGTCCACGCCCGCGCCCCAACGCCCCTCCC